CCCCTCTCGGGGCCCCGGCCCGTTTCGGCAGCCCTCGCCTCCCCCCCCCATTTCGGGGTCCTCCTCCTCCTCCTCCTCCGCCTCCTCCTTCTCCTCCTCCTCCTCATCCTCCTCCCCATCCTCCTCCTCGTCCTCCTCCGCCTCCTCCTCCTCCTCTTCCCCCTTCCCCTCCTCCTCCTCCTCCTCTCCTCCTCCTCTCCTCCTCCTTTTTCTCCTCCTTAAGACTCAGGTGCTCCACGCCCTCGTGCCCTCCCGGGTTCCGTGCTGGGCTGCCAGGCGCACGGGCGTGCGGGCCTGGGCCCTCTTCCTGGCGGGGCTCGGGTGGGCCTCGCTGCGCGCCCCACCGGTGTCGCGCTCCCCGCTGGCGTCGCGTTCCCACCCCCGCTCTCGTCCTCCTCCTCTCCTCCTCCTCCTTTCCTGCTCCTCCTCCTCCTTCCTCCTTCCTCCTCCTCCTCCTCCTCCTCCCTCTCCTCCTCCTCCCCCTCCTCCTCCTCTTGCCTCTCCTCATCCTCCTCCTCCTCCTCCTGCCTCGCTCACCTTGCATCAGTATCGTTTAACAGATCCCCATCCATCCCCATCCCCCTCCCCATCCCCATCCAGACCCCAACCATCTCATCCCCTCAGTTGGGGTTATACTCTATGGAATCTGACAGAAGCTGCCTATATCCCCATCTATGGGGGTAAGCTGGCCAGTGGGGCCCAGGCCACGCGAGTGGGGATAGGGATCGGTTAAACGATGCTCATTGCAGAGCTGGCGGCCCGTGCGAGCACTGGCTGCGAGGTGACCTTGTGCGCGCGCGAACTCTCAGCACTCCTTCCCCCCGTCTATCAAGCAGCGGCGAAGCGTCCTGACCTGCTCAAAGGCTCACCAAAGCATGATATAAGAGCCTTTTGTGATTTGCCCCTCGCAGCCGAGCAAGACAGCCCGCACTGGGCGTTCAATTCCTGAACAGGACGGTGATGGAAGATCGGGTGCAGAGAGAGGCGAGTCTAGTCATTGCGACCGGTGCCAGTGCGTTGGTACAGTTGGAGCCGTGATGATGGCGCTGAAGGCGTTCGTTTTCAGCAGATGCTCACAACACACTCGGTGATCGATCGGCTGCAAGGTTTCAGTTGTGTAGTCAAGACGTCGAAGTAAAGTTCTTAGCCGTGTAGCGCACGGCGGGACGCCAAGCTTACAAAGAACAAGTCTGCGTCGTGCAGCCTTGGCTTAGGATCTGGGCAAGAGTGCTCTAGGGGAGGTCCGACGAGGCAGCGCCAACCACCACCACGACCGAAATGCAGTTTTGTTGCATTACTTTTGTTTTGCTTTGCAGTTCTTTTTGCATTGCAGTTTTTTGTTGCATCTGGTCTGGCTGGTCTGGTTGGTCTGGTTTGAGCTCCGTCTTGCAGCCTTAGTTTACGATCCTGGCGAGAGTTGTTTAGGGGAGGTCCGGCGAGGCAGCGCCAACCACCACGACGACGTTCGAAATCATTGTTGTTGTTGCATTGCAGTTTTTGTTTGCTTTGCAGTTTGTTTTGCATTGCAGTTTTTGTTTGAATCTGGTCTGGCTGGTCTGGTTGGTCTGGTTTGAGCTTCGTCTTGCAGCCTTAGCTTCGGATCCGAGCGAGAGCGGTTTAGGGGAGGTCCGACGAGGCAGCGCCAACCACCACGACGACAACCGAAATGCAGTTTTTGTTTGGCTTTGCAATTATGTGTACATTGCAGTTTTTGTTTGTATCTTGTCTGGCTGGTCTTGTTGGTCTGGTTTGAGCTTCGTCTTGCAGCCTTCGCTTACGATCTGGGCGAGAGTGGTTTAGGGGAGGTCCGACGAGGCAGCGCCAACCACCACGACGATCGAAATGCATTTTTGGTTGCATTGCATGTTTTGTTGCATTGCAGTTCTTTTGTATTGCAGCTTTATCGTTATAGCTTGAGCTTCGGATTCCGCTTGCGAGGCGAGAGCGGTTTGGGAAGTTCCAGGGAGGGTCTGAAGCCTACGGCGCCAACGACCATGATCAGAATTACAGTTTTTTGTGCATTGCAGTTTTTGTTTCTTGACGTTTTTGTCGCATTGCAGTTTTTGTTGCATTGCAGCTTTGCCGTTCTAGCTTCAGCTTTGGATTCCGCGTGCAAAGCGAGAGCGGTTGGGGGGACGTCCAGGGAGGGTCTGACGCCCACGGCACCAACCACCATGATCAGAATTACAGTTTTGCCTGCATTGCAGTTGTTTTACCTTGCGGCTTTGCCGTTTGGCTTCCGCTTCGGATTCCGCGTGCGAGGCGAGAGCGGTTGGGGGAACTCCAGGGAGGGTCTGAAGCCCTCGGCGCCAACCACCACGATCAGAATTACAAAGTGTTTTGCACTGCAGCTCTTGGCGCATTGCAGTTTTTGTTTTGCATTGCAGCTTTGCCGTTTTAGCTTCAGCTTTGGATTCCGCGTGCGAGGCGTGAGCGGTTCGGGGAGGTCCAGGGAGGATCTTAAGCCCACGGCGCCAACCACCATGATCAGAATTACACTTGTTTGTGCATTGCAGTTTTTTGCATTTCAGTTTTTGTTTTGTATTGCAGCTTTGCCGTTCTAGCTTCAGCTTTGGATTCCGCGTGCGAGGCGAGAACGGGTTGGGGAGGTCCAGGGAGTGCCTGACGCCCAGGCGCCAACGACCATGATCAGAATTACAGTTTTCTGTGTATTGCAGTTTTTTTGCGTTGCACTTTTTTTCATTGCAGCTTTGCCGTTCAGCTTTGGACTCCGCGCGCGAGGCGAGGGCGGTTTTGGGAGGTCCAGGGAGGGTCTGAAGCCCACGGCGCCCACGGCGTCTGTAGGCTGTCTTGGGCGTCTTGGCTGATCGGTCGGCGACTCGGAGCCTTCCAGACCATCTTAGGGGCCTCTGGAGGCCGTCTTGCAGCGCTCCGGGGGTCTGGAAAGCCGCCCCAGGGAGTTCCGGCATCCTTCGGCAGATTTTGCCGGGACTCTGCTGGGGTCCTTCGTCCGAGGACTTCCAGGGGCCGGCCTGCGCGCGCGAACCAGAAATATCATTTACCAGTCGCTGGAGATTTTAACACGCCTCTGGCCCGTTGGGCCGGCGAATTAAGGTTTCAGAAGGAATTCGGCCTTTTGGAGGCCTCTCGGGGCGCTCTTGAAGCCCTCTTGGAGCCATCTGAGGCCTCTCTTGGGCCTCCATGGGGCAATCTTGGAGGCCATCGACCAACAAAGAAGGCGGCGTCAATTTGGATTCCCCCGTCGGAACCCTCACCAATGGCATCTTGGAGCTCTGTTGGGACGCACTTGGGGTGGTCTTGGGCGCTCTTGGTGCCGTCGTGGACCTCTCTTGGACCTCTCTAGGACCTCGGGAGCTCTGGGATCTCTATTTTGGATCTCTGGGTCCATCCCGGAGCCATCTCGAGGCTTCAGAAGCCCATCCGAAGCGAAAAGCCGAGAAGGCAAACAAAAACATTGATTTCTCTTCGGTTTTGGACGGTTGTTAGCTCTCCAGGGCGTCCTTGGGAGGGTTTTTGGCCACTTGAGCCGTCTTGGAGGGATCTTGAAGCCATCTTTAGCGGTCTTGGGGCCATCTTCAGCGGTCTTGGAGGCCATCTTTAGCTCTTTGGGGTCATCTTGGAGCCATCTTGTTCCATCTTGGACGCGCTCTGACCGCTCGCGAAAGGCCCCCTACAGGTCCAGGGGGAGGGGGTACCGAAGAGGAAGAAGGGGGTTAGAAGAGGGGGGTATCAAAAACACTCACGCCTTAAAGGGCTACTCACGCCCTGAAGGGCTGGTGGGGTTTAGCCTCCCAACTCTGGGACCGTCAGATTCGCCTCTTGGTACCCTCTGGGGCCCCTCTTTGTCGCTTCTTGGAGGCCTCTTCGAGACCGCTTGGGAGTCTTTGAAAGCCCCTTGGGGTCTTCTTGGAGCCCCTTGGGGGCGCCTCTTGGGGCCCTCTTGGAAACCTAGGGGGCCCTCTTGGGGACCATTCAAGAAGGAGATGGAGGAACGAGTAGAGAACCCAGAGGAGGAGAAGCAATAGAGAGCCGCGTCGGCTGCCATGTCAGGTCTTCTGCCCCAGAAGCCCCAAAGCAACGTAGGGCGCGGGGGCTCACACACGTCGGTCTCGGGAGGTGCTCTCGCCTCGGGCCTTCACTTAGCTTAGCTCCGGGTCGGGGACCTCCTCGTGGCCGAGGCTCGTCGTGGCCAGAGGAGCTCCTCCGCTCCCTGTTCCGAGTTATCTCCTGTGGCAGCACCATGGCGGTACACCGGATTTCATAATAAAGTCGGGGGGGTCACATTTGGGGGGGGGTCTAATTTGAGCTGTCTTGGAAGGTTCGGGGGGGTCTGGGCAAAGGGCCGCCCTTTCATGGATGGTCTTGGAGGGTCTAAACCTTCTCGTCTGGGAGGGTTGAGACCCCCTTTTATTACGAAATCTGGAGTACACACGCTCTGTCTGGCCTCTTCGTGCGGGGCTTTCTGGCAAGAGTTTTTCCCTACCAGCGTCTCTCTAGCGGGTCGGGGGTACAGTTTCTCCTCCTCCTCCCCCTCCTCCTCCTCCTCCTCCTCCTCCTCCTCCTCCTCCTCCTCCCCCTCCTCCTCCTCCTCCCCCTCCTCCTCCCCCTCCTCCTCCTCCTCGGTCGCTGCGGAGGTAAGGAAGGGACTGCAGAAGATTCCCACAGGGGGGCGGGGAGCCCGAGATCGTCCGGGCTGGAGGCAATGCGGCAGGCATTTCGCTTCAGACAACTTCACAAGCCATTCAGGACTCGTGCCCTCGCCTCCTCGATGCCGGCTGCAGGGATTTCAGCATTGAAAACAACGATGAGTTCATGCATACATTTATTCCTAAATTAATCATGTATTAAACAATCCTATATATATGTTTGTTTGAAGAAGTCCTATGTCTAAAAAAAACTGCCTTGAACGTACTCCTCGACACGCCTCTTCTTCACCTTTGCTGCTATCAGGGTGCTCTGCTGGGGCACTGATCGCACCACGCCGTCGCCGGCACCGCGCGCCCCGCCGCGTGCCATGAGAGGACGTGGAGCCCGCGGCGAAGTCCCGGCGGCTGGACCCGCTCTTGTCTTCGCAAGGGGAAAGGGCAGTGGATCGTCGAAGGGAGAAACTCAGGAGGGGAAAAAACACATAGACACAATGAATCGCCGATTCCCCAGAAAATATGGGAAACTATGGCAAGTGGGGGGGAAGACAAAAACCCAGAAAAAGTTGGGAACTATGGGGAATCCTGATATTCGTGTCTACTAATTTGTGTGTCCCAGGGCCCCTTCAACATTGGCGGCGCGCATAGGGGGGTAGGGGGAGGGGGGAAGGCTTCTTAGGAGGAGGCTGCTTCTTAGACGGCGCCTGCCCTACATCTTCAGGCAAGGGCCGCACCCATGTCCAAGTCCAAGATGTCGTGGGGTCTTTCAACGCCGATCTCAGTCTTGGTCCATGCCTGCCGTCGCCGATTCGCGAGGATGGCACGAATTGACTCTGACCAAGACGGACGGTCGCCAAGATCGACACGACGTGACCACACTCAGTCTTGGTCACGGTCTTCGTTTTCTTTCCCCTTACAAGTCGGGGGTTGCTGAAGATGTCGCTGGCCCAAGGCGTCCTCAGTTCAGCAGTGACGAAGCGTCCTGGCGTGCCTGAAGGCCTACCAAGCAATGTTCTAGGAATCTGTTGTGGTTTCCACGAAATGTTCTTACAACATTTCTGGCCGGGACCGTCTTGTTTTAACACGCCGGGCTTATGTTCTAAGAACATGGTTTTGTTTTTGGAACATTTCTTGGTTCTTAGAATAAGACTGGTGTTTTTAATTTGTGAGGCCGGGTGGGCTTTTAAGCCGGTGGCTCTTTCCCTCGCCGGTGCTTTTTTACTTCTGGGATGTTGCTGTGAATAGTCGCTGGTCCATCTCTGCCGCGCCCTGTCACGGAGTGCACGGGTCACTCGAGCGATGTCGTGGTCGCCCCTCTGTCCGATTCTTCCCCGCTGCTTTCCTCCTTCTCCTCCCAAGAGATGCGCTGGAAAAAAAATTGGTTCTAAGAACATGTCGTGGTAGGCCTACAGGAATGCCGGGACGTTCGGTTCCTGCTCAGTTCGGGAGCCTTGAGACGGGGGTCAGTGCAAACGGGGGTCAGCCAGGGCACCGGATCCTGCAGGATCCTGCGAAGACCCCTTTTGGCTGACCCGGGTTAGCGAGCCGTTCGTGGCCGCGAGGCGGCCGCATATATTGGTTGACCCAGGTTTGCGAAGACCTGCGTTGGAGTTTTTTTTCTTGCATTGCAGTTTTTGGTTTTCTGCTGACCCGGGTCTGGGTCCACGTCGGGAGCCCCTGGTCGGAGGAGGCGGGGGTGCCGAGGCCACCGCTCGACCTGCGAGGCCCCTGTCGCCACGGGCGGGTTGCCGCCTCGAAGAGCTCTGGTCAGGGCGCGCCTCGGGGGAGGCCCGTGGAGCAGCGGTGTCGGTCAGGGCTCGAGCTAAACTTGGAGGCCTGTGAATTGGCACCAACACCAGCACAGAGGGCTGCCTCCACATGGGGAAGATGATCCTAGATTTCGGTGTTGATGGTAATCTTTCGGCCACCTTGGAAGCAAGAATATTACCACCATCACACAGATCGGGATCCATTTCCCTCGGTGGAGGCACACCACCGATATTGGTGTTGGTGTCAACCTCTAGACTTTCGATAAACGGTGTTTTTTTCCCGAACCATCCTGTGGTGTTGGGTCCTCGTTTTGAAGAGACAGCGCCCGCTCCCGCTCCCGCTCCCGCTCCTCCTCCCCCTCCTCCCTCCTCCCTCCTCACACCATCATCATCATCATCATCATCATCATCATCATCATCATCATCATCATCATCATCATCATCATCATCACCACCATCATCATCATCATCATCATCATCATCATCATCATCTTCATCATCATCTTCATCTTCATCTTCATCTTAATTTTCATCTTTATCTTCATCATCATCATCATCACCACCACCACCATCATCATCATCATCATCATCATCATCATCATCATCATCATCATCCATTTTGGCACACCCCTCACACGTTTCGTGGCCCCATAAGGAGCTCCGCCGAAGGCCCCAGTGCTGCCGCCCGCATGCGTCACGCACACCCAATTCGGCACACCCCTCACACGTTTCGTGGCCCCATAGGGAGCCTGACCGAAGGCCCCAGTGCTGCCGCCCGCATGCGTCACGCACACCCAATTCGGCACACTCCTCACACGTTTCGTGGCCCCACCAAAGGCCCCAGTGCTGCCGCCCGCATGCGTCACGCACACCCAATTCGGCACACCCCTCACACGTTTCGTGGCCCCATAGGGAGCCCCACCGAAGGCCCCAGTGCTGCCGCCCGCATGCGTCACCCACACCCAATTCGGCACACCCCTCACACGTTCGTGGCCCCATAGGGAGCCCCACCGAAGGCCCCAGTGCTGCCGCCCGCATGCGTCACGCACACCCAATTCGGCACACCCCTCACACGTTTCGTGGCCCCATAGGGAGCTCCACCGAAGCCCCAGTGCTGCCCCGCATGCGTCACGCACACCCAATTCGGCACACCCCTCACACGTTTCGTGGCCCCATAGGGAGCCCCACCGAAGGCCCCAGTGCTGCCGCCCGCATGCGTCACGCACACCCAATTCGGCACACCCCTCACACGTTTCGTGGCCCCATAGGGAGCCCCACCGAAAGCCCCAGTGCTGCCGCCCGCATGCGTCCCGCACACCCAATTCGGCACACCCCTCACACGTTTCGTGGCCCCATAGGGAGCCCCACCGAAGGCCCCAGTGCTGCCGCCTGCATGCGTCACGCACACAGAATTCGGCACACCCCTCACACGTTTCGTGGCCCCATGGGGAGCTCCACCGAAAGCCCCAGTGCTGCCGCCCGCATGCGTCCCTCACACCCAATTCGGCACACCCCTCACACGCTTTCGTGGCCCCGTAGGGAGCCCCACCGAAGGCCCCAGTGCTGCCGCCCGCAGGCGTCCCGCACGCCGAATTCGGCACACCTCAGTTTCGTGGCCCCATAGGAAGCTCCACCGAAGGCCCCAGTGCTGCCGCCCGCATGCGTCACGCACACCCAATTCGGCACACCCCTCACACGTTTCGTGGCCCCATAGGGAGCCCCACCGAAAGCCCCAGCGGCGGCGCTCACATGCGCATGCGTCCCGCACACCCATTTCGGCACATCCTTCACAGGTTTCGTGGCCCCATCATCCACAGGAGGCCCCAGTGGCGGCGCTCACATGCGTCACCCACACCCACCTAATTCGGCACACCCCTCACACGTTTCGTGGCCCCATAGGGAGCTCCACCGAAGGCCCCAGCGGCCGCGTTCACATGCGTCCCCGCCACCCATCCCGCCACGCCCTTCACAACAACAGGTTTCGTGGCGCCATAGGGAGCTCCACCGAAGGCCCCAGTGGCACCGCCCGCATGCGTCACCACCCGCACCCAATTCGGCACACCCCTCACACGTTTCGTGGCCCAATAGGGAGCTGCACCGAAGGCCCCAGTGGCGGCGCTCACATGCGTCCCCGCCACACATCCCAGTACACCCCTCACGCGCTTCGTGGCCCCATAGGGAGCTCCACCGAAGGCCCCAGTGCTGCCGCCCGCATGCGTCACGCACATCCAATTCGGCACGCCCCTGACACGTTTCGTGGCCCCATAGGGAGTTCCACCGAAGGCCCCAGTAGCGGCGCTTACATGCATCTCCGCCACCCATCCCGGCACCCCCCCCGCAGCAGCATCATGTTTCGGGGACCCATAGGGAGCTCCACTGGAGGCCCCAGTGGCGGCCCTCACATGCGTTTTTGCCACCCATGTCGGCACGCCCCGCGCGTGTTTCATGTCCCCATCGGGAGCTTCACCGAATGCCCCAGTGGCACCCATCTCGGAACACCCCTCACACGCTCCGTGGTCCTATGGGGAGTTCCACTGAAGATGAAACCCGCAGCTGCGGTACTGACAACTGCATATGGTTGGGTTCTTCGCCAGGCTAATTTTTGCAATTTCGTGGACCGTTTTCGTTTTGGTTTCGTTTTGCAGCAAACGTGGAACGAAGACAGAGCTGCTAGGGATGACGAAAGCCATACGAAAACTGAAAATACTGTTTAACTCGAGCCCTGGTGTCGGTACAGTCAACCGTGATAGTAAGGATGGGGCAACTTGGCCAGGGTACCCTTGCATCCTTGCCCTTTCGGCGCATCCTTGCCAACTGTCGCTCAGCATGGCGTCCCAAGGCCCTCAACGTGGCGTTCCAAGGCCCTTGCATCCTTACCGCGCATCCTTGTTATCCTGGTTGGCTGCATCCTTTGGTTTTAATCGGGCATGTTCCTCTACGGGAGGAGTGTTCAGAAATTGTCAAAGAATAGCCAGGGAACTATTTATTTGGAGCATTTGTTTGGCCACTTTTGAAGATGTGTTGACTCTTTTCCTTGTTCTCGTCCAGAAAATCCGCCTGCACGAGGACATGCCCGACCTAACCTTTCTGGCCTCTCAGCATGGGGACCCCTGGGCCCGGTCGCGAGGAGGTGTGCTCCCGCGTGGGGGGGGGGGGGCGCGAGGGGGGCGCCTGGGAGATCCTGGCCCGGGCCACACCCGGACGTGGGTCGGGAGTTTTGAGACGCCTTGGGGGCGCTTTGGGCCCGGAGCACCCCGGGCCACACCCGGACGTGGTTCGGGAGCCTTGAGACGGGGGTCAGTGCAAACGGAGGTCAGCCAGGGCACCGGATCCTGCAGGATCCTGCGAAGACCCCCTCTGACAGACCCGGGTTAGCGAGCCGCTCGTGGCCGCGAGGCGGCCGCGCATATTGGCTGACCCGGGTTTGCGAAGACTTGCGCTGCAGTTGTTTGTTTTCCTGCATTGCAGTTTTTGGTTTCCTGCTGACCCGGGTCTGGATTGACCCGGGTCAGAAGATCCCCGAGTGGGGAGGGGGAGCCGGGGGCCCCCAAACGGGGTGGTGACCACACCGTGCGGTGAGTCGGGGGGGATTCGGGGTCACCGCACGGTTTTGGGACTCGGGTCGTTCTCCGAGGACGTCTC